ATTTAAATAAAGTGAAAAGGCAATACTATAATATAAACTGTAATCTTACTTAAAAAATAGTTTTTGTAGAGAATTCTTACATAATTAGCCTATTGCTAAGGTATTTTATGTAGTCTAATAATAGATAAATAATTGTATTACTTTTCTATTTTAATTACTTTATCATATTGATAATTATCAATCTGAGATAAACAGTTAAAAATATATTTCATATCATATCTAGGGCATAAATTAATAAGTTTAAGTATAGCTTTATTATAAATATTATTTAGAATAATCTTAACTATTTATTTAAGTATATTTAATAATTTAACAATTTTAGTGATTTTAGCGATTAAGAGATTTATAGTGATTTTATTGATTTATAGTATTTTTAATGAATTTTAGCGATTTTTTATCAATATATTATAATAAAATATCAGATTCATTTTTTATTTAATTATAAGTATATTAGGAATTTATATATTAATTTTATATTTATATGCAATTTGTAAATCTCTCATAATTAACAAAGATTAGTCAGAGATGCTTTGCATAATATAATTATATCACAGGTATTATACTAATTTTCAGTTAATTTTTAGCACTTTTTTGCAACCTTCCTGTAACTCAAATTACAAGATAATTATCTAATCAGAATTATGTACACATCATTCTCTATAAAAAACATTAGGTCTGATGTAGGCAAACTTTATTGATATAAGTAGATATATAATTTGATATACATATATAAGAAATATTTTTTTGATAAGTCTAAATATCATGTTTAGGCTTATCAAAATTATATAGAAGAAGGATCAATATCTGATTAAATTTATCACTGAACTTACATTTTCTGATGTAAGTATCAGATTAAATTTATCTCTGAATATCTGATAGTAGAGTCTAGATATGATGTTTAGGCTTATTATATATTTGTTAGTATATGTAAAATGAAAAATTCTTCATATGCAAAAAATATTATTTTTTATAATAGAAAGGTCTAAACATCATGTCTAAAAGTATAAGAATTATCTTAAATTTTGTTAATCAAATCAATCATATTTAGTATATAAATAATAATCAGAAAAGATAAACTTATTTGCTATAAATTTTTCATTGTTAAATTTTTTTAAAGAGTCTTATAACTAACCAAAATATTATGCTCTTTAATCTTATGCTAAAGTAATTAATTCTAACTATAAATAATACTTAATAGATATAATATATAAATAAAGAAATAAAAACTTAAAGTATATTAAATATGATAGCTTATTTTAATAAAATGAAGAAAAATTACAGCAAATATATTAGAAAAGTTATCAAATAATACAGAATAATATATAATCTAAAGTAAAAATTTATTATATAAAAAAGATTTACTTTGTCATAAATGTTATATATATTATTTAAGGAATCTGGTAACAAAAGTTAAACAACAAATAAAATAAAAGTAGCATACTAAGCTACTATTTAATGCAACGTTATAAAGAGTATTAATATCAGTTTAATTTCAACCTCAGGTTTTAAGAAGTACTCATATTATTATACCTATAAAAGTTTTAAATAGCAATAAATCAAGTTAGTTTCTTTATAAAATATTATAGAAAAATAACAGTTTGAATTGGATTTTTTACATAAACAAATTTTACACATAAGAAAATAATTGGCAAATAAAATGCAAAAATATTCTGATATTTCATAAGGTTAGTTATTTTTATTTTAATAATGTAAATATGGTTATTTTTATAGATTAATTGTAGTAATAATAGATGATTATATGTATTAGATATTTTATTGTTAGACTTAAATTTTCTTCTTTTTATTATTTCAAATTTGATAGCAAGCTGTTTTTAGGTGAGAATTTTATTTCTATAGTATTCATTTATTAGATTAATTTTTTTATAAAACTAGAAAATGAAACTGTTATTAAGTTTAAAATGATTTACTAGTATTTGTTTTTATCTAGACTTTTATGTAATTGCAAAGGCCAATCAGCATCGACTTAATTATTAAGTTAGCGAACAGACAGATAGATATATATATAACTTTAGACCCTATACATATATAATCTTACACTTCATTCTAGATTAAAAAAAAATTTAAAAAAATTAAGTAATTAATAAATATAATTTATTCTTTAGAAATAAAAAATTTTTATAATGTATTTTTTAAAAAAAAAATTATTAAATAAAATTATATATTGTTTTTTATTTTAAATATATCAATATTTTCTCTATTATTTCAAGATTGTATTAAAAAAATAACTGATATTTTATATTGTTTACAACATTATCAAAATAGTAATAAAGTTTACGATTTTGAGAATTTTTTAATATAATCAATAATCATACATCTGAGTTATGCTAATTTTTTGATATATTATATTAATCAAGTATTTATTATAATAAGTTTTTATTTTTTGCTCTATAAAGTTATTACTTTTGATTTATTTCAGTAGATATTTTATAGTAAATTTTGTTTTGCTTAATTTTTATCAAGTCAAAACTTTTATAATCAGGATAAGCTAAACTAATAAAATATATCAAACTAGTCAACCAATATAAATCTGACTAAAAAATGTGAAAAAATTAATATTACTAATAAAGGTCAAATTATAGTACTGTTAATGTGCAATTCTTGCGAATTGTGACAGTTAGACAGGTATTCAAGTGGTAATTCTTTTAAGTTTATATAGTAATCTAATAGTTGTCTCAGTAAGTTAATAATTCTTTTATATACTGTAAAGTATATTTACATCTCAGTTGATTAAGATTTGTTATATATTGAAAAATATATTCAAACCTACAATAAATGTATGATTCATCTACTATATACTGCCTAATGTATTCAATACACTATTGAGTATATTTTTATATGTCAAGTCAAAATTAAATGTAAATTATGTTACAAATACAAGTATCACAAAATATTTCAAGTAAATCAAATAAAGATTTATTAGTAAATAAATAAACTAAAAGCTAAAAATACTAAACTAAAGGAATACAAAAGAAGAATTAATCACAAATAAAAAAGAGTAGTCTTATGTTACTTTACAAAAAGGGGTTATACATAATTATTGCTGAACTGATCAAATTGCATCTAGCAATTGATAGTTACCTTCTTATTAAGAATTTAGTCTTCTTTATATACTTTTTAATATAAATCTAATATATCATATATATTAGATATGTCAAATATATCAGATATGTTTAACATGTTTAATATTTAGATCTACATTTTCTTGTATTATATAAATTTAATATATCTATTAAGTCGATCTTATTAACTACATCACTTACATAACTATTTATAATACATTATGTAGATCAATTATATTATAATAGTCTTGTTACAGTATTTTGTTATCAATTTGCTTCTCTTCATAATAAATAAATAACTTTACTTAAATGCGATACTAGTTTATTTTATTAATATTCAAAATTATCTAAGCAAAGAATAAATACTTTATCAAATATAAGAATTTCAATTACTTTTAAAATAATTAATTAAACAAGAGTAAAGATTAAAAATGATCATAGTAAAAATTTTTTAGAATATTTTCAAAATCATATGTATATTCAATTAATGATTTTACAATTAAATTTTAATATTTAATAGCTAATTTATTTTTTTTATAGATTGAATTTTTATGTATTTTAAATATGAATAATTATTACAATATTCATAAAGCCTGTTTTTCTGCAATAATATCTCTTCATCATATTTCTCATATGGCTATGATTATTATTAATATACCATAAATTTCTACAGTTAACAAATTACTAATGAAAATTTTCACATTTATAATTCTTTAATAATTAATATTAATGCTTTATATTAATTTAAGTGACATTTATTTTAGTATGATATTTCAGATATAATTATCTATTAATAACTATTATAAAATAAAAGATATAATTTATTGTAATAAAAAAATGTATTGCAATAACTATTCTAAATACTTATCATAAAAATCAATTAAATTTACGTTATATTATTTTTGCTTAAAGATAATATAGCATATATTTCAGCAAAAAAAAAACAAAGTATATAAATACATATTTCAATAAAATGACAGCTGCAAGTTCTTTTTGTATTTCTTGTAGATTATATATTACTTAAATTATATTAATGAATTTTGAAAATATAGCATTTGAAAAACTTGAAAGAAAATTCATATAATTTAATAAATCTGATTTTCTGTAAACTATTAAAATCACGTTACAGATCATATGATTTACTATGCGGTCTAGGTACATTTTAAGGATCAGCATCGCCATAAAAAAGTCACTATCACGTAACATTTAGCCTTCATTATAGTGTGACGTCATAATATTAAGTGAGACTCTCCTGTGATAAATAATGTTGTGATGAATATGATTTCACATATCGTAAAAAAAACCAAAATGAAAGAAGGAAGGGTGTTACGTTGACATGACAAATATTTTAATATGATCACGTGGTAGTGACATTTTTTAGGGAAGATTGTTCGTAACTCGATTTTAATAGCAAACCTCCCATATTTTTAAAATTTTGCATACTTTTAAAAACAATACTTAATATGAGGAAACTTAAAAAATTTAAGAACTAGTTAATTGTAAGATTCAGACAAAAAAAATTTTATATATAATTTACTATGTTAAATCGGAGTAGACTTATATAAACCACCAATATATGTCTTTTCTACATCTTATATCATTGGTTTCAATAAATTATTATTATCATTTTTTTTTAATTGAACAAATACATTTGGAAGCTAAATTCCATACCTAACATTTAGCCTATTATTATATTCAGTCCTTTTTTATAACAGGCACGTGGTTGCAAATCCGATAGATATAGCGCAGCAAAATAAAATATTTTTTATTTTAAATTAACTGCAATTTTATAAGTAAAATTACAGAGTGCAGTTAATGAAACAAAAAAAAGTAGAATAATCCTTGTCAGCATGGATAATACTTTGTGAAGACTAATGGTGAATATTCTTTTAAATGAAATTTCTTAATATTATTAAGAAATCATTTTTCTGGCAAAACAAATACAGATGGAGGTACATAACGCTTGGTATTATATACGCTCTCGCCAACTTTCCAGTCTGGAACATCTTTCATAATTTCAGCTTCACGCTGTAAAGATGCCCGAGTACGACGATATGAATCACGATCTAATTCAGCTTGTAACATCGGGACAAGATATATACGTGACCAAATTCGTTCTCGCTTTAGCTCGCTAATAGAAATCAATAAGTACTTCAGAAAGAAAAAATTGAATGTATGATCATATAAATTAGAAAGGCTTACCGAAGCTCTTGAATTGTTTGTGATGCCCAATAAAAACCTAACGTAGATATGGCGGTTAAACCCGTTAAAATAACAAGCCCGGAAGGACCTCTTTTTGGTATATTACGTTTATACCGAATAGCGGGAAAACCACCAGGTCTTGGCGAGTCTTGTGTTTGTAATGTAGACGCCATTATAAATTAAAGGTCCAAAAAAGTTAACCGAAACAGTTAAATCTCGAGTGTTGAATTCAAATATAATGAGCACGTTACACGAACCTATTTACTGCGGATTACAATTATTTGCTATTTATTAATTTATTGGAACGTGTATAATATACTTAACATTACATATTTTGTATATAAAGTCACATATCAAAGGTTAGAAAGAACATAATGAAATGTTGGAATTGTTTTACATTTTTAAAAATATTTAAAACATAGTTTTATATTCAAAAAAAAAAAAAAAAACTCCATTAAATAATATAAATTTATTGTTATCCAAAACAAACTAAATTTATAAATGATGGACTAAATTACAACATGACCACACCTACTTTTTCGCTACCCATTTCTCTACAACGCCAATTATACATATAATAATTCAAATATCCATCCCCTGGTCCGAATTTTAGTTCTTCAATGAATAATTGGTTTTCCAACAGGTCAAGACAATTGAAAACATCAACACTTTTCTAATTATAGTAAAAATATATTTAGTGAATCAATATCAATTATTTTTAATAATAAACAATAACGGATAATACGAACCAATTTCGCCAATATCAATGCATCCTTCATTAAACTTTGTAATCTTCCTTTTGTAGCCTTTTCATCGGATTCTTTTACTGCATAATAAAATAAATAAACCGCATTTATAGTTTTATGAACTTGGTGACCAATAACTGATGATGGCAAATAATAAAACGAAAAAAAGTCGGTCACTTTTTTTGTTTCAGGGTCCTAATAAAAATATTATTTTTTTTTTTTTTGTTAAATATAGATATATAATCACGTAAAGACAAAATTTAAAATCAGCTATAATGTATTTACTTCAACAACAAATGACCAAACAACTCCTTCTCTCGTTAATATCCAATGTTTTACTTCGTCATCAGTCTTAAAAACAGGTACAAAGTTAAATTTACTCATGTATTCATTTAACAATGCTCTAACTTCAGGGACATCTTTCTTTAACATCGGTCTGAGACCAGGTGTAGATGTTTCAGCTGGTAGCTTAAACTTTTTAATTACACGCGATAAGGGAACGTTAAGAGGTTTGTGAGAAAATTTCGCTTCAATCAATTTTTTTGGATTGAGAGATCGATGATAATATCTAAAAAAAAAAAATAAAAGCTAATATTAATAAGGAAAAAAAAAATATTGGTTAATAAAAATTCTAAAATTCTAAAATTATAGCATACCGGGCTTTAGCGATAGGTCTTGGAAGGACAACACCAGCTGTATATACCGCTTGAAATATTCCTTGTAAGTGAGAACGTCGTGTAATTTCTTTGATTAATACAGGTGCTAGTCGTTTACTTCGGAGCTTTTTATGGACACACAAAAAATTAATTTCGACGAGATGCTGATGACTTTTGAGATTAAATACAAGGACGTTAATTATAAAAAACAACTCTAAAGAAATAACCAAAGTAATTAGGTTATAAAACTTACGAATCATAGATTCGAATATCTGCCGGAATACCACTAACGAATGCAACAAGTTTCTTGTTAGAAGAGACACGAACACCTACGTGCCAAATTTTTAAGTAACCTGGTGGTTGAAGCGCCCTTATCACAGATAACAAATGTTAACAAATTGATTCATAAAGCACGTGACTTTTACGAGAAAGAAAACCCTTACCATTTCAGGAAATCACCAGAATAATCAAAACGAAACATCGCATCGTCATCTTCGACATAATTATTTGTCAAAAGAGTGTAGAGCTCGTTTAGCTAATGAAAATCCGATCAACAACACACAACATATCTTTAAATAATTAAAAAATAAAAGTTGGAAACGAGAAAAGCGTATCTAAACTTTTTAAATAAGAAATAGAAATAATTACATCCGGTTCATTATTTAAATCCAAAGTTGTCCACTCAAATTCTTTGGGTAAAACGTATGGTTCTTTACGAATTTGATCATGTGGAGTATTGGGCTCTATTGGACCATCATCTTCAACCGTCTCACCTATCGACCAAATCGGTTAATCAAAAAGTAATAAATGAATTGCATAGATTTATATCACTTACCATGTTTTGGAACAGGTTGAGTACTCCAAAATTTGTGAGAACTCATGTCCTTTTGCTTCTGTGAACTACTAGAACCGGAGACTGGCTGTATCGCATCACGAATTGCTAGTTGATTCACCAACTTTCTCACTTTTTCTTGTACCTCTAATTCTTTAGTTGACACAGCAGCGGATGTATCTTCCGTTGAGCCACGAGCAGAATTTTTTGCTGCCTTCTTTTTCGCTTTTTTCATATCCTTTTTTTCCTGTTTAGCCCGCAATTTATCTACGGTACCCCCTTCACCCTTAGCGTCGAAAACGTGTTCATCTTTCCCATCCATTTTTGAACTTTTTTAAAATTTTTCGTCTTGTGTATTGTCAATTTTAAACCTTAAAAAACAAAACTCCGTTATTTATGTAGAATTTGACCAATGATTGTTCATTGATTTCCAATGATCGAACTTTGATCAACTTGCATAATAAAAAAAAATTACCAATTCTGGTTCAACTAATATTTATTTTTGGGCACGTGAAAATCATGTGAACTATTCCAGTATTTTTTTTTATTCTCTATTTATAATTTTTTTACAATTTTTGGTGTTTCAAATTTTTACAATTAAAAATTATAATATCATTACATATAAGATATATTTCAATAGCAAATATAATTAAGCGTAAAAAATAAAATAAGAATCGGATATACAAAACCTTATATAAATAAATTAATAAATCACCGTTACAAATCCCGAAAGATTAATCTGAAATTAATGCATAAAACACATTGTTAGATGTAAGATAAAATCAATATTTGTTTCTTTCTATAAATAAAAATACAAATTATATTAAAAAAAAAAAAAAAAAAAAAAAAGAGAAAAAAAAACTCGTTATAAACTAGAAATGATATAATAACTATATGCATTAAAAGAAATATAATATACAAATGATAAGTCAAAATATAAATAATAATGAAATTGTTTTTGTAAAAAAAAAAAATTTATTTTTGGATGAAAACATAACCCAAGAAAAAGTAAAGAAATAACATAATAGAATTCCTTTTTTTTGAATCATGCATAATGTCCTACTTATAGATCAACCGCTACCATCCTTTACTAAGCTCCAGAACGTTCCAATATCAAAAAGGCTCATTGGTTGAAAGCAAAGCTTTCACAAAGTTAAATCATCCCCTAATAATTCTCAACTTTGCTCAACTTTGTTCTATAAATCAGCTTCAGCGTAAAATAAATAATACACTAACCAACAATTAAAAATTATATATATATCTATCCCTCTTTTTTATATCTTTTTTACTGCGTCAATTAATGCTTTTTCTTGCCTTACTTGAAATAACCTCAATCTCTGTCTACGTCATTATTCATATTATATACAAGCTTATTGTTGTGTATTCTGAGAATTCGTTCTCGTACGTTCCTCCTTGTTCTTTATATAACTTTTTAAAAGCTCTTCCAAACTGTGGTCTTGTTGATCAACCGCAATTTGCGTTGCTTTCCTAGCTAATTCCCAAATCCAAAGTTTTGCTGCGTCATTATCTAATTGCTTTATGTCTGTGTCACCTTTAAACTTTTGAACTGCAGTGGCAATATCACGTGCAGGTAGTTGATGATTTGGATACTTCGCCTTCAATAATTGTCGCTGGGTTGTGACGCCAAGATTTCCATGAAGAGTATAGAATTCAATGTCTTCAAGTACAGATTTTGGTAAGCTACGATTTTTAGGTACTGTTGCTGCTTCCAGTACGCTTCGATATCTTGGTGAAACAGAGTGAGCCGATGGCGCATGTGTTGATGGACGAGGTTCTCGCGTTTGTTGAAGATTTAACGTATGATTATGCTCATTTACAAAAGTGGTAACAGTTATGTGTGAGCTAGTTTTGGGAAAAGAAAGATTGATATGCCATCCGCATTCAATACGCTTTGAGGTCCTGTTGCGTTGTTCAGACAACGCTGCCTTTTTCTTTGGTGTGTAACGTCCCCCATGTTCACAATCATATGTCCTTTTCCTAACCATTCCCATTTCGTCTCTTTCCACACGTTTTTTTCTAACGACAAAACCTTGCTCACGCCCATATATCTCAAGATATTCGTCAACATGTTCCCAATTTTCAAAGGTCGTTCCGACAGTTAAAACTACCCCTGAACTAGTGGCTCCAACGTCATTTGAAACATAAGTGTTATCTCTAAATGTGCTAGGACTTACGGTAAAACCGGAATCGTGAGAAGGTACGGGAGAAGTTGGAACTTCCTGGTGACCAGATCCGTCTGGCTGAGCAACAATCGCAATTGTTGAATTAAAATCTTTGTCAGTTGGCCGTGGAATAGTCAACAAACTTACATCTGGTTCACGATTAGGTTCGTAATTCATGATTAATAATTTTCAACAAAAAATATAGAGAAAATTTTACACCCTTTAAAAAAGTAAATAAAAAACTTCAATGGTAAGTTAAAATAAACAAATCATCATTACTGAATCAATTATGATTGGGCATGGTCACAGATTTACAATGTTTTCGGAATAAAAGTCCGAATGACTCTTTGATCATCTAATATACATCTAACCAAATCAATTGGTATCACATGATTTGTTGAAAACAATATAACCTAGATGTTGAGTGAACACGTATTCATTTTTTTTTTTCAATGGCTACAATATTCAAATTAGCTAAAGCACAGAAGAATGCTGCCGATAATAATGAAGAGAATGGAGAGGTCTCCACTGATAAAAAATCAGTTAAAAACAAGCAGAGAGTTCTAGTTTTGTCTTCGAGAGGAATTAATTATCGGTTCGCATATGTAGTTCAAAAGTTAAAGTTATCTAATAAATTTCTTTTAACATTTACTTTACGATATTAGTCAAAGGCACCTCCTGAATGACTTAGAGGCGCTTTTTCCTCATTTTAAAAAAGGTTTGATTTCATCGATACAACTTTATTTTAATTCTTGCATTGAACAAAATTTACTAATAAATTATTTAATCATAGATTCAAAGCTTGATACAAAATTTAATCTTAGAATTCTCAATGAACTTGCCGAATTAAATAATTGTAATAATTGTGTATTTTTTGAGGTACGTAAACATCAGGACCTCTATATGTGGACAAGCAAGACTCCGAATGGTCCAAGTATAAAATTCCATGTACAAAATAGTAAGTTGTTAACAATTACTTGATAAGATCCGAATTGTTTTCGATATTAATAATATATATATATTTTTTTTTTTTGTAAAGTTCACACAATGAATGAGTTGAATATGCATGGTAATTGTTTGAAAGGCTCCCGCCCTATCCTATCATTTGATAAAAATTTCGATTCAGAACCTTGCTTACTTTTGATTAAAGAAGTTTTTACTCATGTACGTTATACCTTATAAGTTTATATGATTATGATCAAGTGAATTTTATATATGATGTATTTTATTAATTTAATAGATTTTTGGAGTTCCAAAGGGTGCCCGTCGATCAAAACCATTCATTGATCATGTTATATCATTTACGATAGTGGATAATCGGATATGGTTCCGAAACTTTCAGGTTTCTTAAAGAAATCAACTTTAATTTCCTTTTTCTCATAATTCAATACTTTAACAATATCCCTTTATTAATTAGGTTGTTGAGAAGGACCCGAAAAACTCCGATACAAAAGTAAATGACAAGAACATTTCTCTTGTAGAAATTGGACCGAGATTTGTTCTCAATGTCATTCGTATATTTGAAGGTAGTTTTTGTGGAGCATCTATTTATGCAAACCCCGAATTTATAACTCCAAATCAGGTTTGTGCAAATATTAATTCGATTGATAAATATTTTATTTAGAAATTATGTTCAATAGTAATGTTTGCCTTTGATAATTTAGATTCGGTTAAGGAATAAGATTTTAAAAAAATTGTAAAAACTTATATAAATTATACGTAATTCTAAGTTTAATAAAATATTTTATATAAATTAGTAGTACGTATTTTGTGTATTAACCTTTGCTGCGGTTTAAGGAACCTGCTATATTACAGGTTACAATGAAAAAAATATATTTTTTTTCTCATCAGGTTAAGTCAAGAACCAGCTTTATACCTGTATATTATGATCAAAAAGGAGGTCTGTTGTTTGACTTCTATATTTAGTTCTTATTACTAGGTGATATTTAGCCGATAATACGTTATCTTACCACAAAAAATTTCATCCCGCACATTTTGGGGACGAATTATTTGGGAGTGAAAATCATATTTGTCACCGTTATTCGTCCCCACCAAAGAATCACGTGAGATGGTGAATTGTAATATATCAAAAGTAATGCTAAAAGAAAAGATTTTTAACTATTTTTATTTAATTAAATTTCAATTTTATCATTTTAGCAATAATACATCTTAAATCTTTTAATTTTATAAACTTTTAAGAAATATGTATAAGAAAATTATAAATGTTTAAAAATCTATTATATATATAGATATATTAAATTTTATATAAGTTAAAATCAATAACTTTTATACTTGTTTAATTACTAAATTTTATACTTGTTAAATTAATAAATTTTTATATATTAATTTATTAATTTATATTTTATAATATTATCATATATAATTCAGTTCAAACTTAGTGGAAAGATTATTTTCAATTTCTGTAATCCCCGTACCGTTTTCTCCAATTGTCAAATCTCGGCAAAAATAATGACAAATAATGACAAATCGATCGTCATAAGCGACATCAATTTGTACTTGGTCTTTCGCTGAATTCCTGGAGAGTGTATCTTAATTATATAAAATCTATTGCAAAGAGATTTAGTTTACGCACAATGTCAAACAATACAAGATATTGACCAATACAGACCCTTCCCCGTTATCATACAATGCATATTGGGATTTATTCTGCAAAGACTGGTTTAAGGACACCAATTTTTTTTCATCAGTTTGTGATGATGATGAAGTTGGAGTATATGCCGGTCTAGGTCTAGATGTCTAAGAAAAAAGATAAATAAAACATCAAGATATATACAACATAATCGGTCTATCCAAAAAAACTTACGTTAATGTATTCAACTATTCTCTTGGTCTTAAAATATGTTGCATTAGAAAATCTGATTTCATACTCATGTGGTCCTGTGAAAGGAATATTTTTCATTTCGTTGAAAAACTTGGACGCATCATAATGTGTACCGAAATGAACATGACTCCATTCACTTGCTTCTCTCTTTAAAATGTAGTGGGGTAATTCTCCGCAACCATGATTCCAATTCACCATGTTTTATGCCTTTGATTGATCCTGATACAAAAACTGTTAGCTCCGGCTTTCCACAGCACGTCCGTTTTTTGTAAGATGGTGGATCTATGATAGTTAAAATATAATATGGATTACACATCATCATTCACTTCGGAAAAACCGAAGGGAGTTGCATGCCCATTGTATAGGACGGCGGACAAGGGTTAAATTCCACAAACGCACACAATACAATACTACTAAATCATACCGTCAAGTATTAAAGTATTTACGTTTCCCGTCCTGCTGTCAACCATGATTAGATAGTAGAAGTGTTATAATTATATTACGCGTTCGAGTATCGGTCCTTTTCGACGAGGATCTTGATTGTACTTAAAATAAATAAAAAAATAAAAAAAAAATAAGATTAGATAAAGTTAACCAAATCTAAGTAAGCCACTATATAGATAAATAAAAGGGAGAAGGACGTTCACGCTAAGCGAGGCCACGAAGAGCTTCCAGTTCTCCAATGTATTCACTAAATAATGGGCAATTATAATGAAAAAACAATTGACCAGCAAGATGGAATAATTTCTTAAACGCTGCCGATTAAAGTAGATAAACAATTGACAATAACAAATAGAGAAGAACGTTCTCGCAATCTTTCGGTGAGTAAACTCGCTAAACGTATTCGTTTTGTTATGCAAAGGAAGACGTAACCAATCCCTTATTCAGAATCAGTAGACCTTTACCAAAAAAAAACACGCCTAGACAAACCTACTGAAGAGAGAGGCCACGAAGCGCTTCCAGTTCTCTACCTACTGTTTTAATTTACCTAAGTGAACCAACAATGACGCAAGTCTACTAGACTACTGCTGGTATTAATTCGCCCAAGACAATTTCTTACCTAATGTGACAGTCGTTCTTAACTTTTTCAGTGGCGGTCGTCTTCACAATGACAAAAGTTGCTTTTGTATTGATATATAATAGAAGGTAAAAAAGTAAAGAAAAATAAAGGGAAAGTTGAACGTGTAGAAATATCGTCATCTGACATAAAAATAGAAACTAGACAATTTATTGGTTAAGCGGACAGATAAACTCACGTGACCGAAAATATTCAGACATATTTCACACAATTATTCTCGATGAAACTAATTTAAATTCTCATTTATATTGATGGATAAACGGAAATCAAACCAGCTTTAAATTTCAATCTCTAAATCATCACCCAATATAAAAGCAGGTAATTTAATAAGATTATCAGAGTTGAACAACAAAAATTTCAGAATGGTTCCCAGATATGAGTTCATTGCTTAGCTAGAGGCGTAGTAATTTCTTGACATAAACTTTGACGAAAGTTTTAATGTCACTTACAGCAAATTTCATAAGTTACGGGACACCTGGTAAAATTTTTGCCGAGAAGTTACCGGGTTCTCGGGTTCTCGGGTTGTCGGCAAAATTGAAAAAAAATATGGTTTTTTTTGTCCGTTAATAATATCACGTGTTTAATATTGCCGATAACCCGAGAACCCGAGAACCTGGCAAAAATTTTATCAGGTGTTCCGTAACTTATGAAAATTGCTGTAATCATTTGCTGCGCCAAATTACTCAACAAATTTCCTAAAAAAGAAATTTCTTAGAAGTTTCAGTTGACCCATTCCAATTTGAAAAATGTTAAGGATTCATATCTTGTGTGCTAAATTTTGGTCAGGCTGATTCTTACATGTTTTTTTTTTAACAGAGAATTTTTTTCTTAACAAATGTGTCATGAGAAAGGACCTTAAAATCATTCTCATTTTACTAATATTATACTAACATCATTTTAAATGCATTTAAAATACAAAATTACATAATTCTAATTTTCAAGAATTAAAAGTTCGTTAAGAAAGCCAAGATGCATGTGCGAAAATCCATTCAGATTACTTGACATCAAAAAAAAGCCAGTGTAAGAAAATTTTATACCAAGTACACTAATATTAAGGCGTGCTTTGAATCATTTCTCTTTGATCTGAAAAGGTCTATCAAGGTAAACTTAATTGTATGAAGAAGTATCGATGCTCTTTCCTTTTATCGAACATAGAAATATTATATATATATACACTCCCCTAAAGAAAACATCCGGGCACTCAAAAAAAAAATTTATTTTTATTAAAATATTTTCATATTTAATAACTTGTGGGCCATCCATTCCTACTAATACACTCTTCTATTCTATTCGGCATACTTTTTATTAATTTTTTATAAAATGTACTAGGAATTTT